GATTATTAAAGAACAATAAAACCTCTTCCTAAATTGCAATTTTCTTTGAAAAATTTGGAGATGTTTAAAAAAATCGTTTAAACGCTACGGTAAATTAGAAATTTGAAGTTTTTTACAGAAAGTTTTTGAGTGTTCGAAAAACTTAATTTAAAGTCATTGTAAGTACTTTAACTCACATATACAATAGTGATTACAAATTGCTGGATATGTGCATAATAACGGCGTCAATTCTTTCAAAGAAATTACATTTGTGTAACTTTTGGAAAAATATCCTGAAAGGAACTTTACGTCATATTAAGGAGCGTATTTACCACTATTCCGACGAAACGTTTGACGAAAAAAAGTGGAGCTGTTTTCGAGAAAATGGTGTTTGAGCGTTTCTGAAACTGCGGAAGTTTGAGGTAAGTTTTCACAGAAAATGGTCGAGTTCTGAAGAAGCTTTATCAGGCATAATTTAAAGCACATTTACTTTAATATTAGCGGCAATTTGTTCACATATTTACCACATGAGAGACAAGTACAAAAAAAACTTCTTGTAATTTTTGAAAAAACTAAAGAATTGAGTAATATGGCATCTATATCATCATACAGAATGCATTTAGCACTATCTCTACTAAAAGGTTTTAAGAAAAAGTGTAAAGTCGTTTTTTAGTAAATCTGGTTTTTATTTTTTCCAATTGCAAATATTGTATGCAAACTACTATAATTTTAAAAAAGTACACGATCTTAATAAAATAGATAATTACGGACAACAAATTTCATTTGAAGGAAATATTTCGGTACTTAATTTTGCAGTTGTGGGAAGACACCGAAAATAATACATTCTTTTGAAATTTTCGATAATTCAGAGATAGCCGTGAAAATTACATCTATGCCACTTTTATAATTGTATGTTACTGAAGTTTTAGAAAAATTGGGCGTTTGAGAAAATTTTGAAAATGTCCGTGGGGCTTCATGTTAAGTGCCCCCAAATTTTAAAGAATGTTTTTCAAAATCTCAAAGCTTTGTCTCAGACAAATTAGTTTCAGAGGATTCAAGAATTCTTAATCTTTTCACTATTTCTTACTTTCGCGAGCGGGCGAGTTTTCTGCAATGATGAACAGTAAAACACCAGGGAATTTATTGCCTCTTGAAACGATCTGGTTTTGTTTGTTACAAGATTTGAACAAGGCACAACAAAACTAGTTGAAACAAGTGTTAAGTGGCTGGTCTAACCGATGGCTAGACAACCCATGACAGCCCATAGCATTGAGAGGATCAACAGCGAACGTATATGCAAATTACTCTGGTCTACAAAAAACAACTTTTTCCTGTAACACGAACAAAACACACAGTTCCTTGAAAATAATTTTGTCTTGCAAACCAGCATTAATTTCAGAATTGGCTTCAAGCTTCATGTGATGATCGTTTTCGTAAATGCGTATGTCTCCCTTTGCATTATATGTATCTGGCAAAATGACACACTCTAATAAAAAGATTCAAATGTATACAGTAAAGTGTTAAAAGTGAAGAAACCTTCAAAATATTTATATAAATTTAATATTATTAAATATAAATAAAATATTAAAAACAAATTTTTCCTTCCCAATTTCTTGCAATAGTTTGCCCAAGGAACGTCTCTTTGTAAGGTCCAGCAAAATTCTCAGAACAATACGTAACTTCAATTACTTTGATAAAGCTTTCCCATTTGCGAAGTGGCCTGGTGTGTATTATTTTTGTAATAAAAAAGATTGTCTTGTTTTTGTGGCGGCACAAGTGGGGAACGAAGGGCGTGAATTCATTTTTTTTCACCTCCACTCTCGTAAGGCAAAACCAATTTTTCATTTTGAACGACAATTCTGCAAATTTAATAACATTTGAAATTTTCTTCTCCTAGATTTTTTTGTATTTATACTGCAACGTTTCTTGTTGGTGAATTAAAACACAGGTAATATTTTAACAAAGACGTTAATTTTGATTCTTAATGATACATTAAAATACTTGATTTATTTACAGATAGGTTGCACAATCCTTGTGTTCTTCACTTGGTGATTTTCCTTACACACGACGTACTTCTCTTATTTATTTATACACATCACTTCTGAGCATTATTTATTTACACTGTACAATACTTCTACACAATAGCGCTGTACAATGCATTGACCAGAGTCCACTGCGCTGGCTACAGTTCACGGCGCTGATCACGGTCCTCTGCACTGCTGTTCACACACCACTGTTCATCACAATGCACACTTCACAGCTCAGTTTCCACTGCATACTGGCTCACTGACTGACTCGCTATCGCGACCGTCTGGACCTATCCGGAACTTGCGTTATACTTCTACGCGACTAACCCGGAAGCGTCCAGTTCGGGGGGCGCCGGCAGATGACGCAATCCGCTCAGCGAATCCCGGCAGATGATGCAATATTCGTTACAATACTATGGAATGCAATTCCCAAATTTTGCACGCGATATCACTGATGGATACTGCGCAGTGAACAGAGTGGGACACGTCTATGTTTACACCTTGTTCAAACAGAAATTGACCACAATGAAATCTGCGAAAAGGGAAAACAGTGACGAATTGTTTCTGGCGACAATTGTTTAGGTGGGAGTTTAAATAAAATTGAATTAAATATTTACTAAACTAATAACGTAAAGCAATCTTGTTAACATGTAGACAATTTGTATTTTAAATTAATATAAAAAAATTGTAATACATTCACTTTACCACGACCCCCTTGCAACGTTTGTATGTTGCTACAAACAGTACATTCAGATTCAAACATTGGCTTTCTTACCTTGGTTCGCAACTCGCTCATATCCAAGAAGGAGGTGACGTAGGAGTGAGCGTGTGTCCCTTTCACGGGGATGTTGAACAACTTCCCTGCGAGGACGTTGCTTGTGCCATCGAATCCACCTGCAACAATAAATATCTTCAAAACCATGTCACACACAAAGACCAAACTTTCATACCGAAGAAGCACAAACTCGTCCCTCTCAATGAACAATGAAACAGCCGACACGATACACACGTAGCCTCTTATGCCGGAAACATACTAAACAACCACTTCCAACTCCATTCTCGTGTATTTGAAGGTGCACCATAAATTAGACTTTTAGGTAAGTAGTAGGGCGTTGATACGTTGCTTCATTTCCAACAATATACCAATTTTCTTTGAAAACAAAATAACACACAAATGACACATATCATGTAAGTTTAGAATTTGAATGTGCCGTCAGGCTGCAACCATGTCAATTACAAACTTTCCTTGAGCCAAATCGATCTCAGCTAGGACATTATTAATTAGGGCGACTCACGCAAGACACTGACAAGGTTGTCTCAATTTCTCCTGAAAGGAGCGGCGCTCCTCTGATAATTTCTACTTTTACTTTCTCGCAGTTATTTCGTTAAAGTTATGTAATTGTGCACCGGAAAACGGCGATTTTCGACAGAAAAACTCTTATTGTCGGACGCTTGAACGAAAATGTGGATTAATCCTGTTAATGTATGTAGTAAATATTGAAATATGACCACGTCCCATTTTTCGAAAATATAAGTAGTTTTCATGTAGTTTTAGGCAAAATATAGGCAATTTTTAAATTTTTGTTAAAAAAAAAATGTTCCAATTTTTTCTTTAAGTTTTCTCCTGGCAGGTATCAAAAGGAGGATAAAGAATAAGGTGCTAGTCCCATTTTCGATGAACCCTCCCAATTTTCGAAAATTGCGTGTTTGAAATATTGGGTGGCGACAATAACATTTTAAAGTGCCGTCCCTACTTCGAACCTTACGGCGCTTCTGTAGGATAGTGGTAAGGTTGACGGAGAGTTAAGTCGGAGGACTTGAGTTAGAGTCTCTGTGCGGAAAATACTTTATTCTGGTAGAAAACACTTGATGTTTATGTAGTAGTATAATAAAGCTGAAAAGTTAGAAATTATGCGAGAAAGTATATGATATATCACCACTAATTTACTACATGGTATGTTGTAGTTGCACCACTGCATTGTCAAGAACACCAAGGGCACTTACTTCTACACTACACCAAATCATATGTTGTATAAACTTTGTACTACGAATGGCAAATTAAATATTAGGCCTCACCTATTGTTATTCGGGTTCCTAACTAGTGAATATGAGACATTTGTTCTCAACGCCGCCTTCCAAAGGCCATAACGCTAGCCTGTGCCACTCTCTCCCTTCCCATCGCGCCGCACTGAGAGATCCCGAGAACAACCTCAAAGAGACTGTTCTGAAAATTCTGCAAACGAAATCGGAAGAAACAGGGCAAAGTCTTGGCGGATTAGAAACCTTAATCTATCCGCGAACATGTTCCGGTAATTGGCAATAGGAAAACAGTACAAGTGTTGTACTTTTTGCCCGGTCGGCTAAGAGAAATCTCAAACACGCGCTTCGCGTTTGACGGAGGGTGGTGGCCCTACCCTCTTCCAGCCTTCCAGCCGCTACCATCTTCACAGAACCTCAAGAACGAACAAGAGCGACGAACCCGCATGAGGCAGGACTATGCATGGCCCAACTTTCTAATATTGAGATTAACCAATCAGTAGCGTAAGCCCGGTGATGTCTTGCACATCACAATTAGTGTTGCGCGAATATGCGAAAATGCTGTCCATTTAAGCTTTTGTAGGCTGCTCGATTCACAACATGGAGAATTGCCCTTGGCACTGCCTTACAGATCTGCTATCCACCGAGCGGTTTCGTACAAAAATGCATGGAACTCAGTCGCGGCCGATAGTTACCATTAGTGAGAAAATGGCAATATCGGATTTTTTAACGTTCATATTTTTACAATTGCCAAATAAATAAGCAAAGAAAGATCCCGAAGAATATAGTTACCATTAGTAAGAAAATGGCAAAATAGGATTTTTTAACGTTCATATTTTTACAATTACCAAATAAATAAGCAAAGAAAAATCAGTAAAAAGCATAAATGCAACATCAAAAAGAAATATCTTTTATAACCTACATTTTAGGTGTACTTATCAATTCTATGAGGAATTCTTAACTAGGAACAATTTTTAAACACATTTGTAAGTATGATCTCCGGTCAGCCAAGTACCCAGATTTGTATATAATTTTAGTGCGTAATTTTAGACAGTTCCTAAAATTACTTCATGGAAATACTTTAATTACTATAATGTACGTTTGGTAGGGGGAGTCAAAAATGTGTTTGTAATGTAATGCTGGAAAATCTAGTTATGATTCTGCTAAAAGCCCAACTATTAATTTATTGAGGTTTAAAGGGCACTACAACAGCTAGTCATTGGCGCCCCCTTTCAAAATTTAATAACGTAATTTACATTACATAAACAACAGAAAAAAGCCATTGCAGACGAAAATATCACTCAATAAAACGACATTTACATTCAGAAATAAAGTCTTAAATACGTATAATTCAAGAGTATATTACACAAGTGCAAGAATTGTAAAAAATAATTAACACAAGACTTGAAAACTGGCTGTATTGAGGCCATGTAACAAGAGCAAAACAATCTTGTTCTTTTCTCTTGAACTAAATGGTCAAGTCAAAAGGCGCCAATGGAGGCTGAGAAGACGGTGGGGGAAATCAAAATAGAAGACTGAAGACATAAAGAAACTAGTACGAGAAAGTCCGTGCCTTTCTATAATACCATTTTTTTTTATTTTATATGAGAATAATGAAAAAGGTATGAGTAAATAATAATCCCGGATATAACAACAACAATAATAAACCGACCCGGATAGCTGAGGTCGCCAAGGCTGGACGTAGCTGCCTCGTGCCAGTGGGGTCGCGGCTTTGAGTCCCGCCCAAGATATGGATGTTTGTGTGGGTCTGCATGTGTGTGATTGTCTTTTCATTATTCACTATTATCACCATCATCATCTACTCCATCCCCTCCAAGGCTAACAACCATGGAGTGTAAAAATGGATTCAGCATGAAAGTGCTCCCCCCCCCAAACAAAAGGTCCACGTGGACGTCTTCCCGGAAGAATATGACTGGGTCTAAATGGGTAAACGTGTTCTCCAATTAGCGACAAAAATATAAAACTTAATAATAATAATAATAATAATAATAATAATAATAATACATATCCGGGTAGTCGAGATCGCTTAGGCAACCGAAGGATCGCGAGTTCGAGTCCCGCCTCGGGAATGGTTGTGTCGATCGGGAATGGTTGCAGCAGCAGTCGTTTCCGCCGAGGAGGCAGCAGGTTCGAGTCCTGGGTAGGCATGGTCGTAATTGTGATTGTTCCTTCACCGCTCATTATTTTCCTATCACCTCGTAGTTCATAATTCAAGGCGTCTTGAATCTTGTCTTATTGAAAGATGCCGCTGTAAAAAGCCGATCCCCATAATTACACAAACCTGAACAATCTGTTAATCTCTCCAGGGTCTCGGAAGATAACATGTAACGTGGTCATAAATGGCAGATACGAAAATAATAATAATTATTATAATAATAATAAAACCGCGCTAGCCTACAATACTTCATGAATTAATATACAGAAGCAACCAAATTTAAAATTGTAGAAAGAATAGCGCAAGCCACTCGATAACTGCCAAAGATCACAATCCTGTACTGAACATTTGTTACCGACATTAATTGCATTGTTTTTAGTTTAGTTTGATATTCTGTAAGGACGAAGACATATTTATACATTTTCTAACAAATAAGCACGTTTCATTAACAACTTTCCTTCTTAATGGAAAGAGTAGGGAAATGGATAGAGAAAGGGTGGGCATTAACATGCGAGAGTTCTGACACGGTTAAGTTGTGTCATATTATTTCAAGTAGGTTTTAAATATTTTATAAAAGATTAATTTGTAAATGTAAAACAAAAGCTCAAATGTAAGAAACGAACAAAGAAATATGAAATAAAATACAAATTCTAACTTACGAAGCATGCAACTGCCTGGGAATTACGTTCACGAAGCGCAGTAAATTCGGTGCGAGCGACTATGTTCGTCACCAAATTACACGAAAAACTCATATTTCCAAAAAATGCAACATGACCTTCATTGAAGTTCTGCTCTCGACGACCGAACACTAGATCTGAATCATTCTCTTAAGTGTCTTTTTCGCTAAGGTCTAAACGTTTTTTTTTTTGTGCCATTTTTGAGGGAAAATGGTTTATAGAAAATATAAATTGCCTATATTTGACACAAAATTTTGAAAAAAACACTCATGTTTTTTAAAAAAATTTAACAGGGCATTATTTTTAGATGTTTTTCATGGAGTTCATCTTTATAATATTAGTTGTAGGGAGTTGCCGGAAAAAAATGAATTTTTATAAATTAACAAACAAAATCAGGGTTTTTAACGAACATGAGACCTACGCAATTCTCTTAAACACCCTTCACACTATTCAAATTAAGTTTAATTAAAAACAGAGTCATTTATTTGAAAATGTTCCGGGGACTTCATGTTAACTATCTCAAAAATTAAAATATTGGTTTCAAATTCACGGGGCCGCGACATTAGCCATATCGACTGAGAAATATCAGTTTTGGAGAAAATCGGCTAAACGGTTTAGAAGCTAGCGTTGTTCACAGACGTTTGCCGTCAATACATTTTTCGGCATCAAGGACCCACAAACATGATGTTCTCCCTGAATGTATTCACCTTTTCGGTTGCAAGGCACTGTAATAAGATTTTCTGTAAGCAGTTTTTTCGCGCAGTATAACATAACTTTATCTCTTCCGCGGTAGCAGTAACAAGAAAGTAAAATTAGTTTATACGTGTTGCGGTTAGTATGGCAAAAGCTGTGTCTTCAAAGCGTAATATAATTATTTTTTACATTTTTCGCCTTAAATCAGATGTACTCCTGGGTTAGTTCCTTATCTTAATGTAGTATTTAAATGGGATTTTGTGTAGTTGACAATTGTATAAAATTGCCCTCTTCCCTGAGTGTATTATATATACAAGCGATCATTGATTACTTTGTGGGTAAATGATAAGTACCTACGCAATATTTTAGTTTCTTCATTTGTAACATTTAGGCGTACTTACTAACATTTTGCCCAGTTTCAATCTTCCCAATGAGCTGAGTTGCAAACAGGTAATTTCACTATATTAGAGTAAAATCTCGTGTGTTCAAATGCCACATATATTTCTAAATAATTTTAAATTCGTCTTTAACACTAAGGTATAATCTCACACGCCTCCTTTTTAAAATGTATTTGTGTACTAAATTTTCAAATTGGTCAGGCGGAACAGAATTGCTGATGGCCTGATCCTCGCCCCATATTATTGTATTTAATTTATATTATTAATCCTCCCTTTTAACAATTTATATTAATTTTGATTTAAATCGTACGGGAAGAGAGCAATACCATCAGCATGCCTGATGATGGTCTATACAATGTCACCACTCAAAATAGATTACCAAAATTTGAACTATCTACCACACCAATCCTACACAATGTTCGACTCACTGGAACTGTGCAGATTAAGAAGGGGACAATCTCGATGAAACTCCAGTTTTTGACTGTTGAACCGGTCTGTTCGACGGCATGTCGGATGGTTGGCGCAGCGTTGATAGAATTTGTCAAAAATGCGAGGCCGCAGTTTGTTAAGGCATCGAAATAAGTCGTTTAGCACTTGCTGGGAGAGGGATTAGAGGGATGTCAACTTGTCATGTCACCGGTCTATCCTAGACGGTATTATCTGATTCTAGCCTGGAAACAATGGAATATGTTCCATTATTCTCAGGGACCAGACGCCAATAGATGCCGGCGTTAGAATCTGTTTTCCAATACTATTTCAGGAATAATAATTTACATAACAAGTCGACCTTTTCTTGACGAGACTGAGCTCACCCGCCGAGGCCTACAGGCATCGGCGGGTAAACCTGTCGAGTAATGACAAGGTTTCTTTTCCCACTGGTGTACAATATTTATTCCAGACACTTTTTTACTTTCTTGCACTTCCTAAAGTAAGAAAAAAAAGTTTTGTAATCGTGCTCCGGAAAACGGTGAATTTTTGGTCATACAAAAACTTATTGCCCAGCCCTGATAAGGAAAAAGTGGATAAATACAGTTGCTAAAAATAGAAAGAAAAATCCTCAACACGTGGTGTAGCCAGAATCAATGTTTTGTGCGTCCTTCATACAGAACTAGTGGTGCTACTAAATGGCACAGACTTTCCCCTATTAGTTTTCTATTTCCTTTGGTCTCCGTTATCCATTCGAGCTTGCCACCTACTCTTGCCGGCTGCTATCGCTGCCCAAAGTACATTTTTTGACATGCGGAAATTTTATTTTAAGATTATTACAGAACAGTAAAACATCGTCCTAAATGGTAATTTTCTTTGAAAAATTTGGAGCTGCTTTAAAAAAAATTGCGTTTAAGTGCTACGGTAAATTGGAAATTTGAAGATTTTTCACAGAAAACTTTAGAGTTTCAAAAAACTTAATATTAGTCATTGTAAGTAACTGACAAATACTCAGTGTTTACAAATTGTGCATAG